CGCCTCCTCATCTTCCTCCTTCGACCCCTCAGCATTCGAGGCCGAGAGGCTCCGCCTCGACGCGGAGGCCCGAGCGTCTATGGCTGCCGCCGCCGCTGCCTCCGATGCGGAGGGTGAGAGACAAGGAGGGGATCCCAAGGCTTGGAAGTGGAAGATCCGGAAGCGTGTCTGGGATCTCTTGGAGGCGGAAGATATCGCGCGGAACCCTCGCCCCGTCCACCACCGCATCCCTAATTTTGCCGGCGCTGCCTTAGCCGCTGACTCGGTTGGCTTCTTAATTTATCTTCTTACTTTGCGATTCATTTCTACAGCTATTTAGTATGAATTGTTTTGCCAGTCGTTACTAATATATCATCCTCTATATACAGCAAAGACTTCATTAGGGCCACAAAGTAGTTGTGACCGAAGAGCAACCGAGAAATTGGGGATCTTCAAGGGTACAAACCTTTTGGAGACCTCAAGCTATATATGGTTATAGCGAGTAGATTTGGGAAACATCTATGTTTTCTAATCATTGTGTTAAACGATCATGATCTAAAGTTCACCTTGATTATTCCGAGATTCAATGCTAAATATCATCCAGCATATGAAGTAACATATTGTTACTAGATTTTGCTACCATCTTTTATTGTCCATCAATAGGTTACATAAGGCTGCAAGCAGTCAATAGGTTACATAAGGCTGCAAGCAGTCAATATGTCAAATTTTGAACTACTGAAAATGAACGTATATGCTGGGTATCTTATTCTACACGTAATTATGAGGTCAGGAGGTTGGGAATGGAAGTTATGGGGCATGTTGCCAGTGAAAATTTGATGTTCTCTAACGATTATAAGGTCTACTCTCATGGTACATGTCTCTGACAGGGCTTATTGCTTTTCCTTGTTATGTTGATCGTTTAAGTTTGGATTGAGATTAGAGATTTTTTGGTACTCTGTATTAAATTCATGTGCTTTTTTGGCATGTTATTTATGCTTCTTTGTCCTTTTGTTCCTTTTTTGTGTGTCTAAATTTATTGTACTTTTAGATGTACACCTTTTATTAATTTGCTGAAGTGGTTTAAATCTGTTGGGGTTAAGTTAGGTAAGTTGGATGTGTTTCAAAAGGCCCAATGCGTGAAGGTCAACCCTGACTCGCCTCAGAAACAAGTCCGGTTTTTGACACTTACAGGTTGGTCAACTGTCCCATCTCCAAATATGCTATGATTCACTGTTGCATAATTTTTTTGTTTTTGTATGTATGCATTTGTTGTAGTAGGTTGATTGCATGGATTATTTGTGCTTCCCCACCCTAACTTAGAATGTCAAAACTTGCCTGAACATGGAAAAATTGCTGTTTCTTTGTACACAGTGTACAATGCTACTTGTAAGAAATAAAATGTTGAACCAAATTCCCTCATCTACACACCGTCTGTGAAATTCTTTATTAGCTCATTTAGCATGTAAATAGACCAGACCTGATTTAGATGGATGTTTGTGGCTGCAAGTTCTATCACACGTTGCACATGTGCAACTCTATTTTCAGAAACAAGTTCGGTTTTTGACACTTACAGGTTGGTCAACTGTCCCATCTCCAAACGTGCTATGATTCACTGTTGCATAATTTTTTTGTTTTTGTATATATGCATTTGTTGTAGTAGGTTAATTGCATGGATTATTTGTGCTTCACCACCCTAACTTAGAATGTCAAAACTTGCCTGAACATTTAAAAGTGCTATTTCTTTGTAAACTGTGTACAATGCTACTTGTAAGAAATAAAATGTTGAAGGAACCAAATTCCCTCATCTACACACCGTCTGTGAAATTCTTTATTAGCTCATTGAGCATGTAAATAGACCAGACCTGATTTAGATGGATGTTTGTGGCTGCAAGTTCTATCACACGTTGCACATGTGCAACTCTAGTTTGAACATTGTGTGTTTTCGTCTCTCAAAAACTCAAAAACTGATGATGCTATTATCTTTGTGTTATTGCTTTGATAAATATTTTCAAATTGGTGTTCCATATATAAATGTATGATCCAAAGATCGTGCACATTCTAGTGCATTCTTCTTCTTTTTTGTCATTTCTCCTTTTAGTCTTTCTCTATATCGGCTCCTGAAGAATGAAATGGCAACAAATAGTTGCAAATGTCAAAAAACCAGAAATGTTGAACTTGGTAATTGAAATGGACGATGTGAGTATCTGCTGGTCATGTTTGATTGAACTATTTTGTGTTAATGAACTCAGATCTGCTGGACTTACTGTTTGAAATCAATTTTTAATAGCATGGTAATGAAAGTAAAAAGTCCTTTTAAGGTAGCCAGAGTTGTAATGTTGGTTGGAGATTTCTCATGAAAGTAAAAAGTCTTTTAGCTCCTACCACCGAAGTACCATTTATAGAGGTACCTGGAAGCCGTCACAATGCCCCATTGTTGGCAACCTACAAAGTCTATATTATCTGCTCTACAACCTTTTTACACCTGACAACTTACAAGAACAAAATAATGTAATAAATGCTTCCCCTGATAGTAGATTTTGAACATACAAGAAAGCAATTAATAAATGTTGCATGCTAGGTTTATTTTGGAGGTTTTTTTTTTCAACATGTCCTACCATACAAGATCCACATATCTTTATTGATGTGCACCCTTGTTTTTGTTAATACTTGCTGCAATTGATATGTACTTCGCTTCTATGACAAGTTTCATTGGTTACGAATCAATAGAAATTTGAAACGGTTAACTTGTAAGACAATGGAGCAAATGATCCGTCTAACAAGGACTTTGCAGCACTACTCAGTAGCAGAGGAAGAGGAACTGGCACATTCTGCAGCCATCTTTGTTATTTTAGATAGTACTTTTATGACTTAGGATTATAATAATGGATGCTGATGCGGTGTATACTGGTAACATAACTACAACAACTCTTTTTTCGTGGTCCATGGCATGCTGCAGAAAGGTGTGGCATGGGCAGGCCTCTGTTGTTTTATACTAATCTCTTTTGTTCAATCTGCAATAAGATGAGTAAACTCTTAAGAAGTTTATTCTTTTATTATACATTACATTTATTGGTCTTCAATGTTCTGTTATTGTGTGTTCCCTCTTAAAAATGTTCTGTAGTTTCTTGGACTGAAGACTTTGTTAGAAATCACATATTTCTGCCAATTAGTTCAGTTAACATTAACCAATGCCCAGTGGTTCCTCACATGTCATCTTTGCTGATCATGGTTTGCCCATGGTTTGCCCATTTTCTGATTGCAGCTTGATTCGGTGTATGCAGGTGGAAAGAAGTTACTGACTCCTCAACCACGACTGAGGACTGGATTTTTCTCAGTATTGGCATCTCAGACACTGCCTTCTGGTTCCATTTTGGAGGCATGTACCTCTGTAGGAGCTGCGAAATATGGTCGACCAATTGGTCTGGATGAAAAAATAAAAGTTGATTTGATAGTTATTGGTTCAGTTGCAGTCGATCCAACAACAGGAGCACGACTGGGCAAGGGTGAGGTAAGCTGTTGATGTTTTTAATGTGGTATTGCCTAACATTCAGCTGGCATCATTTTTTCTTTGGTGATATACAATGTAGGGTTTTGCAGAACTCGAGTATGGGATGCTGCGTTATATGGGAGCTATAGATGACAACGCGATGATAGTAACATCTGGTAATATTGTATCTTTTCAGTCGGCTGATTTGGTGTTTTATGTGTAACATCAGAAACATTATCATGCATGTGCTTCCAGTTCATGACAAGCAATTGGTGGATGATATCCCAGTTGAGAAGCTCTTAGTTCATGACGTGCCAGTTGACATTATCTGCACTCCAACTCAGATCATCTACACCAATACAAGAATCCCAAAGCCTCAGGGTGGGTTCATATTGAATCAATGTACTTCGTTCACTTAAATCCAGTGCCAAGATTAGCTGATCCTGAAGTTTCTTGCATATGTAGGAATCTACTGGGAGAAGTTATCTCCAGAAAAACTGGGTCAGATTCGAATTCTTCGAGAGTTGAAGAGGCGAATAGAGCGGGAGACCGGGCAGCTGCTGCCTACTGGGCCTTCTGAGAAGCTTCCTCCCACCGCTCGACGCAGGCGGTGAGCTTTTATGATATGATCGTAGATTACACTACCTATATATTGTCTCACTGCCATCATCATGCTATATAAACAAATTTGGATTACACTATATCATTTTCTGAACATTATGTGTGATAAAATTTTGTGCAAGGAACAATCCTTTTAATATTATGTTAATATGAATAATCCCTTTTTTTTCCTGTAAGATACTTGTCTGCTGTTTGTAGAGCACCTGTCAAACGATCGAAACTGTTTATTTATCGTGTCAATATAATGTTATTGTTTTAGGGGATTATTGTTTACAATCCCTATTTATTATTTATAATTGTATTTTAATATTTTAAATTTATTTTTTGATAAATATTTGTATCTCTCTCCTCATCCTATTCTTCCTTGAGGATAGTGCTGAGGGGACAACGACCAAGTTTGAGGGGTAGGCTAGGGGTGTTGATCGATAAAAAGCACGGGGAATGACGATTGATGACATGTAGAGATAATGATAAGAGATAACGATCAATATATTTTTTTTCTCTCTTCTCATCGTGTTCTTCCTTGAGGATAGTGTTGAGGGGACAACGATCAAGATTAAAGCATAGACTAAGGGATAAACTAAGAGACATGATATTGATCGATAAAAAGCATAGATTAGGAAATGATTAGAGATAACGATCAATATATTTTTTTGAGCATAGACTAAGGGATAAACTAAGAGACAGAACATTGATCGATAAAAAGCACAGATTAGGAACTGATAGGAACCAACGACGATTGACGACATGCACTAGATTGGGGATGATGATCAACACTAGAGAGGTGCACAAGATGGATCGTAAATAGTAAAATATTATTTTTATTAATTTAAAAGATATTATAAATAATAAAATTTTATCAATAGTAAAAAAGGATTTTTAAACAGTAACTCCTTTTTTTTAATCATGATTATATGGTTTTTTTTACGGTGTCGTTCTCGTGACAACACATGTCATGCCATTTTTGCTAACTTGTTCTTCCATATTTAAAGAAAGAAGAAAAATGGAACCCTTCTCTTCTTGTCAACGTCGACGACGCTGAAATGAGATGTCCTTTTTGTTTGACCAATGTCGGTCCACGAATACCTATGAAGATACACCCCAACCCAGAAGAGCACCAATAAGGAACGAAAACGAATTCATATGTGGTTTTGGTCCCTTTGCCTGCGCCTCAAGACTCCGGTGAAGTGTGAGCCACTTCTCTTTGTTGGACTGGACTCCTCCGTGTTTGCTTGCCAATCCTATCTGTCTGGTTTGACCGATCGAGTTGCAGGTCGGTCAGCTGTGTCACAAACGTAAACAACCGTCTTAAGCAACCTTCGCCATCACATACTTGTGTGTACGTAAGGAGAGGAGAAGACGATCTAATTTTATATTTATATATATACTACTCAAATTATATGGATGTTTTCGCATGCCTATATTGACTCACCCCCGAATTCTCCTCATCATTCATTACAAATAAGGAAAGAAAAAGATCGAATCAAAGATCAATGAAGCATTTGTGAGGATTCAGTCATCCCTACCACAAAGATTCTCCAGTGTCCGCGTCAAAACATTCAAGTCAAATCACATCCGTCAACTCATTGACCACCGCGCCACGACAAGAACACCTTTCTGGTATCCAAGCAGATAGCTTAAAACAAGAACACCACTGGATTCACGTTTCTGCTCGGCTTCCCAAGAAATATCCTTTCTTTGAATAGCCAGCAAGTATTTTCCTTTAGAAGCATCTTAAACTTGTGTGTGAAGAAAGCATAATTTGGTGAATAAAATAAAGGAATTAATGTTCTTTCTCCTGTCAGAATTCTAGCAATACAATATGGAAGAAGCTAAAGAGAAGTACGTGTAGGAAAACGAGATCGAAAGAGGTGAAGGAATAATCTCTTAGGCACAGTAAGTCTATCTCTATCCCGACGAGGAAGATGGAGGATAATGGCTGGATTCAGTCCAAGGTGGAAGTTGAAGATAGTCCATCTGTTGCTCTGATGCTGGTGGATAGAGCAGTGGAGATAAGGGATGACCGGAAGCAGCAGCAGCAGCAGTGAGAGGAGAAGCAGGATTATTAGCTCTGCAACTCACCGTCTCATCCAACAAAGCAGGCGGAGGCATCCCTCGGCCATCCTCTGCTCCCTGCAGCAGCCTCGAGTACTCCCAGTAATCCCTCATGGCGTCGAAGGGTCGGGACTCCAGGAGAGCAGCAGGAGCGGCGGACGGCGCGGCTGCCGGCGCTTGTCGAACCCCGGCGTCCTCGGGGAAGTTGAGCTTGGCTCTGTTTCCTCGGAACCGAAGGGCGGCCTCGTCGTAGGCCCGGGCGGCCGACTCGGCGGTGTCGAAGGTACCGAGCCAGACGCGGGCCGCCTTGTGCGGGTCTCTTATCTCCGCGGCCCATTTGCCCCAGGGGCGTTGCCGCACTCCTCGGAACCTTTTCCTGCCCCCTTGCTCCGCTCGAGCTTGCTCTCTTCCTGTTCGAGAACGACAGAATACATGAAACGAAACGTAGACGCTACAGAGGAACAGAAATGGACCGCTCGAGTACTCGAACCAGCTGCCGAAGCCGACGACGACGACGACCCCCCCGGAGACGACCCGAACGTAATGCAAAACCTGGGCACCTCCTCGTGCACGAAGCTCTCCCTCCCCTGCATCTGCCGGCCGCCACCGTTCTGCTCGCCACTCGACGGTAAGGACGGCAGAGACGCGCCATCCTCTCCTGCGACCACGCGCGTCAGCGTCGACACCATCACGGACATCTCCTGCTCCACGAACGACGCCGCCAGCCTCGTCCCTCTCGCCCTCGTCGACGGCACGGGCACTCTTTCGCCCCCGTCATCGAGCCAGATGACGTCGCCAGCGGATTCTCTCTGAAGGTTAGCCACCTTGACGCGCGTGCAAGCTTCGCTATTGGCTCCTCTGCCGCGAACGAGCCGCTCAAAAGACCACTCGAAACGTGACGATCCGATTCATAAATATACGCATATATACACATATGTTTAGAGAGAGAGAGAGAGATATGGATAGAGCACAGGAAAGCACGTGGCAGCAATTAACGGCGTCATATGAAGGGGAGGAGCAATGTTGGCTCGAGTTAGGGTTAAAAGCGGCGTTCAAACGGTGGTTTGACCGTGGAGGCGGTGGTGGGTGAGATTGTGGGTCGCAACGTCGGTGTGATATATAATAAATATAGGATATTTTATTTAGAAAGTCCTTCATATTAAGTTTTAATAAAAATAATATCCCCTTAATTTGTTTTTAATTAGGGCGTTATTTTTTCATCAACTTGACTAAAATGCCCTCGGTCGTCGTCGTCGTCGCAGCCACCGCCTCCTCCCACCACGAGCGGTGGCTCCTCCCTTCCCTCTTCCCGTCCCTTCCCCCTCCTCCTCCCCCCTTTCCCGCCGCCCGCCCTTCCTCTGCCACCCTCGCCGCGGTTCCCACTGCTACGAGAGAGGAAGAAGACGAACAGGAGGAAGCAGAGTCCTCCGCGGCGGGGGGGCGCCGGAGGCAGTGCTTCTACTCCTTGAGCCGGGACGCGATCGCCTCCTCGGCGGTGGCGAAGGTGCTGAGCAAGCGGACGCCGCGGATGGGATCTCGGATCTCCGCCGTCCTCGCCTCCCGCCTCCGCTCTACCCGGGCGGCGGAGAAAGCGGGGGGGGAGGAGGCGACGACGGGTGGATCGAGGATATTTTCGTCAAATTGATGACGCATAAAAATCAATCAAAGAGGCATCATTTGATTAAAACTTAATATTGAAACCTTTTTAGGTAAAATAATTAAAATTTTAATTATGTTATATATATAATTAGAGTTTAGCTAATCTTAGGAATTTGGTTACTAAATAAATAATTAATTAAGGTTAAGATGAGAAAGATATTTTACATGTTGTCGTCATTAAGACGATCACCAAACGCAACACGGATCGCACATCGTACACGTGGTTTGCCATAGTCGGCAGCAATTGGACTCGAGCCAATGATCAATTGCCACATCATCCAACAACGCGTCCAGTAAATTAGCCCAACCTTGGACGAATCGGGGTCTGCGGTCGGCGGATTCACACTGCACGAAGCAACTTGACTCGGTCGACATCCTCGTCGGCATCGAACACGATCGGACGGATAAGTCAAACAGAATCCGGTCAACCTCAACGACAACGTCCTCTCAGTTCTTTAATCGTTTTAATCCACAAGGAAATTGATGAGCATGCGATGGATTCTTTTCTCTCTTCTTAATTTATAGTTCAGTCGATCCTGACTGTGGTGTTGATCTGATCAACTTAGAATTTGACATCTGACATCTAAGTCTTTTCTATCTTAATCTAATCTCACTATTATGTGTCGAGTTTTTATTGAAAAAATATTATGTGTATTAAAAGTTAATTTCAAGAGATTATTTTAAAAGAAAATATGGATAATTATATATATAATAAATATAGATCATCAAAAGATACAAATAGAGAACTCACAAACGCCACAGGATTCAATCGTTCCAGTCTCGAACGCCGGTGCTTTGCGTACAGAGACATGTCGTTGGTTGTGAGGAGCATTAATCGGAAAGCAAAGGGAACTGTTTCTGTCGGCCGAGGAAGCTTATCGGTGAAAGGTGTTCTTCCGTCGTATGCCACCTTTGAACCAGTCAACACGTGGTGTGATGCTATTTAATGCCCACGCGAACATGTGGTGGCCATGCATTTGCACGGTCTGCCATGTCTCCATGGCAAGTCCACATAGTTCGGTCACCGCATCAATCATCAAATCGGAGGAGGAATTATCGGTTGGTTTTGCAGCTGAGAATGGTGGAAAAATATTAATATTATCATATCTATTTATCAAGAATTAAGGGTTCAAAAACTCATTGATAATTGAAAATAATATGTATATATGAACCTACATTGGGAAAGAGTCACTCGATCATTTACCTTCGTATCTTTATCCTTCACTTGTTATGAGTGATTAATTGACATATATATAGGTATTTTACTAGGATGAATCAAAAAATAATCAAAATAGCTCAATAGATATTGATTGATAAGAGATGTATATTTTTCTCCAATAATAATTCAACACGTGGCAACGCAATGTGATAATGTAGTCAGCGATGAGAAGCATAATCTGATTAACAACTCGACTACATGCACATCGGTTCAAAGTATTGATAAGAAAATATTTTAAATATA